ATTGGATTTACCAATTGAAGGATTTTCTAGCTTAAGGTTCATGACTTGTAGACTTTATGCTCTTTCTTAGATGGTGGAACTCTTGATTCGGAATCTTTAAAAAAAATTCTCAGAATTAACTCTTTGAAAATCTATAACTAGCCTCGACTACAAAAGAAATCATTTTTAAAGCTCAGGATATTTTCTAAAAGTTCTTTCGAAACTATTAAAAATTGGTTTAGGCTTGGAGAAGAGTTGACCGAAAGGACGGGACGCGGGGCTTTGTAGGTCGCGAGAGTCTTCTTTGCACGGTAGGGTCGGCAGTAAGGCATCACACAGGCTGCTATAACACGGGCCTCACGGCACATGACGTATGCGGCAAGCGCCGGCTGCCCGCTTGCTTACGGGTGCGCTTGCGTGCTCGTCACAAAAACTCACCCTTTTCCTATCCTCCCGAGCCAAAGGGATCTGATGGTACCCTGTGACGCATCCATCAGGCTAATCAGCTCACACCCTGCAGTGGAGTCGACCAGCTGGTCGATGCTTGGAAGTGGGTACAAATCCTTCGAGCACACTTTGTTCAAATCGTGGAAATCGATAGACATCCTCCACTTGCCCTCCGACTTCGAACCATCACCATATTAGATAACCATTCTGGAAATTGGATCTCCTTAGTATGACCCGCCTTCTGCAATTTGTCCACCTCCTGCTCGATCACCTTATCCATCTCCGCACCATGATGCCTTTTCTTTTGCTTTACCGGCTCACAGTGAGGTCAATATTCAGCCAATGTTCGATAACCACCGCACTAATACCTGTCAACTCCTCCGCGGTATAGGAAAAGATATCTGCAAACTCCCTTATTAGCCCAACCAATCTCGACCTCATGGGCTCCTCCAACTCCTTCCCAATTCTGAACTTCCTCTCCGCATTACCTTTGACCATTTGGATCTCCTCGATCTCACCTCCTAGTTGCATCTCTGCTTTCTCCTTGCCCTTATCCGATATCGCCTTTTCCTCCTTCGACCTCGAACCCCCAGGTCGACTTGGCATTTCATCTCCTACTCTTGCATGCCTCTTAGCCAATTGTTTGTTGTTACTCACAATGGTCTGCTAGCAGCTCCTTGACGCGAGCTGATCCCCCGCGACCTCGCCAACATTTTTGCGCACCATGTGGTACGTTGACACGATCACCTGGAATGCATTCAAACTGGTCCTCATAATGTTGTATGACGATTTTGCTCCGACCACCATAAACTTCACCATTTCTAACCTTCCTCGCCCCTTTCCCAAGGCAACAGATAGACTCACCTCTCCCATCGGCATGACTTCACCTCCATTGAAACCATATAAAGCCGTGGCCACTGGTTTCAGCTCCACGTCAATTCTAGATTAATCTACACAAAACAATCATGGAAAATAACATCAACCAAACTCCCCGTGTCGATAAACACCCTCTTCACATCGAAACCCGCCACCTAACTGTAATCACCAAAGCATCTTTATGGGGTAACACCACTCCTTTTGCATCCTCCACCCGAAAACTAATCTCTGGTATTCGAGCTGTAATGTCTACTTCTTCCCTTTTTCGCTTCATTGCTCGAACATGCCCCCTCCTGGCATTGTTCGAGTCTCCATCCGTCGGTCCTCCCAAAATCATGTATATCGTTTCTCTCTTCACCGGGCCTGCATCCTCCTGCCTTCCTCGATCTCTATTCCCCATTCTC